GACCAGTTCAGACTCCCGACGCATGGCCAACTGTTTGTTCCTGATCAGACCAAACCACTCAACCATGAGCTCGTCCGTGAGAGTGTCATCGTCACCCTCTGACGAGGAACACAGAGCACACAGTTAATCCCAGACACATACATTAAGATTTCTCTTACATTCACAGCACGTCCTGACTGAAAAGCCTTCACAAAACACACAGCTGGCGCGTGCATCCCACCTTCTTCGCATTTGCGCAGCTTCACCTCCAGATCGACTCCCCTCTTTTCCAGCTCGTTTAAATTCTGTTCAATCTCCTCAAGCTCCTTCGTGATGTCCTCTTTAGGAATGTAGTCTGGCTTCATCTACAGACCCAAACAGATGCAGAGAAAAGTGCATGAATGACATGCTCATTTTATAAAAAAAAAAAAAAGAAAAAGCTACGGCAAACTTATTTTCAGAGACCCACTACCTTCTTTGTCTCTGACTTGGTGCCATTCTTTGTTTGCCCTTTCAGACCCTCCTGTAATCCTAAAAAAAAGGTGGAGATAAAAAGCAGAGAATAAATCAACCAACAAAGCTAAGAACGGATAAAAATTACAAAGGCACGACTCACAGTAAACTGTTAGGAAGGCTTCTTCCTGTAAATGTTTGGTTATGACCACGCTCTTACCCTTTGATCTCGGTGGAGTGACAGAAATACTCAGGCTGGGAAACTGAGAGGAAGGCCTCGCAGAAATCTCTGAGGTCTTCGGAGCCTCATTAGACCCTGGTTTAGTGGAAGGGCCAGCAGGCCTGTGGGCGGGAAGAGGGACAAATGGAGAGGATTCGATTAACCTACGACTAGACTCTTTCCCCGTCTTGCTACAGTTTTGATTCATGAGAGCGAGAGGAAAGGTCATTCGTGGAAAAGGAACTCCAAGCACTGAGCATATGTTGCACCACGGAGGACTCGACTCAGTCCCGACACCATTTGGGGCTCGCATGCATGTGGCGGAAGAGGAGAGACTGAAAGCTCTGACTACAAATGATGGCCGAGACATTTGGAGGAGCAGCAGGTACAGGCTTCCTGTGGGAGGAATGTTTGGTGAGACGGATGAAAGACTGGATCACACGATGGATGGATGGACAGGACATCAGGAGGAGGGGGGGGGCTCATACAGTTAATGCCTCACGATGTCGATATGCTGAGAGGCCACCCACGTACATACACTCCCTGCTGTTATCAGGAGCACGAGTCAATAAGGAAAAGGACTCAACGAGAAGCATAAGAAGTAAGAATCAATTAAATCAATCAAACAAGTCTTACTTGGTTTCTTTGGAGACGGGCTTGAGCTTCGACCTCCAGTCTGCAGGAGTCTCAGTCTCCTTCACTGCTGCGGGGGGAAAAAAACAACAACAAAAAAAAAAACCAAAAAAAACAATTGAAACCAGTTCAGTTCCCTCATTAGACATCCACTAGTCAATGTCAGTTCCTAGTTCTGTTGTTTGGTTGTAAATGCTATTTGTTAAATGGCATTTTTACAACAATGACAGCAAATGCACAAAAGCCAAGGATGATATTACACCCAAAGTAGCTCCCAAATAAGCATATAAGCAGCAGATTAGAGACACAGTATTAATAAAATTATTAATAAGAAGCACTGTGGGAGTACAAACCAAGGCAGCTCACTCTCTGGGCAGCATTTATATATAAGGAAATCATATTTTATACACAAACATAATGTAGGAGTAGGTGATGGATAATATGTATTGATTTGTAAATAACTTGAGATTATTGTATATAAAATTATACTATAGTAGATTTCTAACTAGGCAGCTTGTTCTCTTTCTCTCAACAATACTTTCTTTAAAGACAGAACACATTTCAGGGTCAACTTGGAAGAAAGGCAGATGTGAAATGTAAAGGTCAGAGGTCAAATGTGTGTCAAAAGTGTGTGTGAGACCTTGTGTATCAACTCTCTGCTTGTAAAGTGTGTAAGTTTAACCTGATGTGTTGGGTAATGTACTGCCCGTCTTCGAGGGTGCCCTGTCTGCAGTCTTGGCCTTGAGCCCGCTCTGACTGCCCGGGCTCTCAGAAGAGTTCGCGGTGTCTTCAAACTGCAGGTCAGACAGGATCGATGGGTTCACTTTCAGCTTCACCTTCCCTCCAACTCCCTCTTTCTCCTTCTTTGGCGTCTCGACTTTAGGTTGAGATCTAAATAGAGGTGAAGAATGCAACTTAAATGCCTCTCTTCACCAGCAGAGGTCAGGGTAGAGCAGGATACAAAGTGTAATCACATGTTTCTGTGAGTCTCAGGTTAGATTACTTACTTCTCAGTTTTATTTAGTACTGTAGTCGCCCACGATTGCTTTTTGTTGTTATTGTTGTTTTCCTCAGACAGTTTTTTGGAGATGAAGGCTGCTGCTGATGCTTTTGACTTATTACTCTCGTCTTCCTGTTTCACCTTCCAGCCAGTGCCAGTTGTTTTAGCTGTATTCCCACCTTTGTCCAAACTTTCATTTACCTCTTTTTTTCCAGTACCACCCACATTTATGACCACAGTAACAGCTTTCCCTGCCGTGGCCTGTTGTGCCTTACCACCAACACTCTGGCCTTTGTTTATGTCCACATTGAAGGTTGAAGTCTTTTTCTCCTCCACCTTTGCCGTGTTATCTTCCTGGAAGAACTTGAGCTTGGACTGGAGTGTCTTGGCAGCGGTTGCCGAGGGTCGAGGAGTTTCAGCCGGCCTGGTGTTGATAGATGAGGTCACAGTGGTAGTAGTGTCACGTGAAGCTGTGGGTCTGGCCGAAGAGTTAGATGATGCAGCCCAGGGGGCTGGGGACGCAGAAGTGGACTTGGGAGTGGTGGGTTTCTCCGACACCCGTGAAGGACTCAGACTGGAGGATGTGTAAGTAGGAGCAGGTGTACTGTGTTTACTCGAGTCTTTAAGAGGAGTGAATTTGGAAACATAGGAGTTTGGGGTCAAATCTTGAAGAGGCGTGCTTGTGTTTGCAGATGACAGCAACCTGTGAGAGAGAAAGTACAACACACACACAGGTTACAACAGGGAACATAGTCACAAACTAGGAACATAAACCTGCGATTGGTGCCATTTTACCCTCAATACACCTCATTTATAATGATGCTAACCTGCAAACCCAAGCTACAGGAAGACTATATTGGTTCAAAACGTAAATTAAGCTCAATTTGACTCTTTTCAACATTTTATGTTAATAAATGAACATTCTGAATTCATAGAAATGTGTAACATTTGCAATTTACAAAAAAAAAAAAAATCTACATTTAGCAATAACAGTGTTCTGGCTAGTTTGCTAAAGCTACTCATTTTTCTTTTCCTCATGATAGAAAAAGCAGGACAAATTAAGGTCCTGTGTAAAAAAAACAAACTAAAAACAATATATCAAAAAATGAACAAACAATAAAACAATTTTTTATTTAATGAGAAAAGTAAAATAGTCTTTGCTAAGAAGAAACTAGCTAAGTTTAACTAGGTAGCGGCAGAGCTAGCAGTCAATAGCTAACAAAATCCATGGATTTATCTGATTAAGAGACTTCTGAAATATTTAAATGTGTTTTTCAATTATTAAACTAGTTAAACTGTATGAGAAAGGAAAACTAGAATATTTTTTAGTTGTTTTAACCGTTTTTCTTAATACAAGCGATTAAAAAATAAAAACTGAGTTATATAGAGGCATTACAAATACAATAATTAATAAGAAAAACTAAAATAAGTATAATAATTCTCTAGCATTCTTACACAAATCAGTCTTTCCCTGTTCTAATGGCAGACTTGGAATAAACATAATGGACCTAAATGGCGCCAACATTAGCATTCCTATCATCTTACTTTGCACAGTTCCTGTGATAAAGCTTCCCATCCACTAGATGTCGCTGCACCAGGTGAACGTGCTTATGACAGGATGCACATGTGCTACTCAGGGTGCCTGCCTGAGATTTTCCAACCACAACCTCCTAGAAGAAAGAAAGAGAGAAAAGAGTGTGGACAAGAGGGGACTTCAGCCGTTACAACTAACTGATGTCACGCAATGTGGGCCTTTTTTTTTTTTTTAAAGTAACTACATTGACGTCATGGTAATCATCTGCTGACACAGACCAAGTGACCTGTCTGTAGTTATTTGGTCATCGTTGACGTGGATGAACGTACACAACCTTGGTCAGTATTTCGTAAATGAATTACTTTTAGACTTCCGCCCCAATTTAGAAATGTAATAGTAACTATTCAATTTTACCTGTGTTGAAGTTTTGTTTTGATTTGGGGAAGGAAGTGGCTTTGTGATGTTGGAGGATGGGGGAGGGCTGTTCTCTCTGGCAGGCTTAGAAGAGGGAAACACCTTAGACGTCACAGCCTGGTTCTTCTTCCCTGACGGCTCATCGCTGGGGCCATCGGCTGGACGCTTTATACCCGCCATTCCACCGACTGTATGCAAAGACAGATGAACAGATGAGATGTGTGCAGATGGACAGAGAGGGATACAGTAAGACTTTATTTAATACTCACTCGGGGAGCGTCCGTGGAAGTAGTTGTAGTATTGGGAGACATAAGTCAGGATGCTGAGGCGGTCAGGAATCTTAAGTGCCACCATGTCTTCTGCATCCAGCAGCGCTGGAATTCCCAGTTGTTCTTCTGCAACACTGAACGCCTGCAGATAAAACCAGTTTTATCCAGTGAGAAAAGAAACAAGACTTTGGGTTTTAAATCTAGACGAATGCAATGCACTTATAAATCATAAAAGCTTACGTTGTGTGATGTCTATGAAAGACTTTCTAGATCTTTAAGGACACCAAACATGATTGTGTTCTTTAGATGTCCCAAAGAAAAGCAAAAGAAGATAAAGGTGGGCATTTGTTTAAAAAAATGCATGCATTCTCTGAGGTTTGCAGACAACAAGTTTAATTTGAAAGAGGAAGAGATGTTTGCATAGTGTGAACAAACCATTTTCATTGTTCTACTGTCCCCATCTACGTCAAATACAAATCACCAACCCGGATTTTGTTGAATTCTATTCCCTCTACCCTTTATGTGAGTCACTAGTGAGAAATAAATCAAGAATTTGCACACCACACTAACATCCAGCAATTCCACGGAAAAAACAAGCAGTGGCAGGCCAATGAGCACCAGCATCGTTGTTTAATCGGTAATCAGATAATGAAGAGCCACTCAGATGCTGTTTACTTTGCTGTGCCCTGTTAATCTCTTACAGTGTTTTCTTATTCGATTGCCCAACATGTTGTTTCAGCTTCGAGCTGAAACCCAGAGCAGCGTCAAACAGTTCCCGCACTTTAGCTTTATTCTCTGCTGGCCCAAAGAGCAGGCGTTTTGACATGTCGAGCTCTTGGCACTCCCCGAGTTCAGTCTAACAATGAAGAATCTGTGAAGAAAAAGTAAGTGAAGAATGCAAAGTGCCCGCATTGAAGCAGTCTGCTTTTTGCCACCACTTCTCTGCTCGCCCATGCTGAACGTTATTTCCACAATTACCCAAGATCCCACGGTGCTGATGTAAACCGAAGTTGTGTCTTAAACTCAAGCTGACTAACTTAAAGTCTGTTTTCTTGGAGTATTGAGCTTCATCTGTGTAGAGGAGCTGCACACTCAGCTGTAAATCTCAAACACTATCAGGGGCACAGGTGTGGCTCCTGTGGTCATGGTTCATTTACCCCACGAAGATTACCTGCTTCCTCGCTGGTTATATAAATATGATGATGTTCTTCAATGTCAGATAAGCAACACTGAACTTTTCATGTATCATTAACTATCCCCCCCGCACCCTTAATGTCGAGCTTTGACACCGTCAATAAAGCTGTGGTTTGAAGACCATTGCAATAGGTACCAGGGTTTTACAAGGGTAGTCCTAGTAAGCCGATCATCCTCACTAACTTCTGATCCAAACCTTTGTTCTGGACATGGCCTGAAATATGACAGAAAAGAGAGACAAGGGTTTTCCCTAGCAGGCGTCACAGGGCAAAAGAGTTAAAGTCCAGGGCTATGAAGTGGAGTTAACTCATGACTCCTTTTATAGAGGAGATTCATCAGAGTTCAACAACTGGTGAAAGAACTGAAAATGAAACTGTATTTTTACTTCAGAGTCCAGCCTGATCTGTCTTTTGAGCCCAGACAGACACTGGCTGCTTCAACTTTTACACCAGTGCTGGATGTTATTTATATGCACGCATCACGTATGCTGTATACTGCATGTATGCTGGGTCATAAAACACTGAGACCGATTACAAACCTTAAAGCTTTCCCCCACGATTCGAGGTTGTATACTCAGGTCAGATGGTCTAGCTTATCAGTGTCATTATAAAAGCTATTCTCGCTTTGCTTCACTCATTCTTACTGACCTACATTCATCAAAAAAAGAAAGGAGCGTGGGATGTTATTGTCTACATTTCCAAGTGTTATTCATTCAGTCTTTCCTGAATGTTCACACTGAATTTGGACAAAGAACGCTCATATTTGCAGCTTCATCCTCCTGGAGGGAGGAAGGATGAAAATCAACTAAGTCTGATGGCGCTGGGCCCCGTGTTTTGGCCCGAGACAATTTCCACTGATGTTTGAGGTTATAAATTGTGTCTGTTTTTATATTTTACTCTTCATCCCACAGAGACTGGTTTTGTTTTAGTTTTCTGCTGTCTGTCTTGGCCAGGACATTCTCACAAAAGAGAGAGTCATGCTATCCTTTCTAAATAACAAATATACCTGTGCTTTCTAATGACACAGATGGCCGAGTTACTTTTATTTTGTTTCACAACAAGAGGACTAATCACCAGCCACCGCTGGTATTCTGTTTGTTTTCACCATCATCACCACCTGATATTTGCCAAAGACATCTGCTGATAAGGATCAGCAGATGTCGCTGAAAGTATTTGGAAAACTAACACGCAGGTAAAAAAGAAATCAATAGTTACGTTGACTGAATTCACTCATAAATGGGATGTACAAGTTAACATCAGGTGAGCAAACAGCACCACACACCACGAAAACAGCTTCAACAAAAACTAGCTTAAACTCATTAGCCAAAGTGGCTGTGTCCATCTTTTATTTACAGTTTGTGGATACAGCTAAGGATTTATTTTTTTTAAAATGATGACATGGCTGCCTTGGATGATGTCATCTTTTATATACAGTCTATGATTGAGACTTAGATTCAGATTTATTGTCACATGGCATCACCATATTTTAGATATGTGCAAAGGCAAAAATAAGAGCATCTGTCTGGCAATGGAATAAAAACAAAAGTAAATAAAGGAACAAGTCATGATTTATTTAGTGACTTGACAGTGGTTGGAAAATAGCCCTTCTGCGTCCTGCTCCTGTAACTGAGGACGTATTTATAGTTTTCTGGGCTGGGACTGGAACAGGTTACATTCAGAGCAAACTGGTTTTCAAAAAACAGACTGATTTATTAACTCGCATCATAAATGATAACTAGGGTGGTGATTTTTGTCCATCAGCTTTACTTTAATTATTTAAATAAATCAAACTCTATAATTTTTGCTAACAATACTAAGAGTCTACAGGATGGCAATGCAGAACCATAGACTCTGTATAAACAGTGCATGCAGTCACCAGTTGGTGGGGATATTCTGACCTTCACCATCTTGGGTTTTTATAAAACTAGATGTGACGAATGAGGGCTGGGTCTGATTGAGAAACTGAGGACAATGCAAGCTTGTGTGGTCAGTTACAAAGTAGCCATGGCTGAGGGATTCATTATTTCCAAAACAGGAATGTTCATATTAAAAGTTCATTTCAATCCATCAAATAGCTGCTGACATGCTTCAGTCTTAAGATGGCATTGTCATATTCAAGAACAAAATTTAAAAAAAAGGGGGAGGGTTAAGGGAGCCTTTGTTGGATTCAGGAAATCAGTTTGTAAAAAAAAAAAAGAAAAAAAAAAGTTAAGTGTGAGCATCCAGAATGGAAACGTGTCTTACCAGCTTGTTGTTGTCATAGACATCGTCCTTCTTCAGCGAATCAAATTTGCTGCAACAGAGCAGGAAAAACCCAGAAGTTACAAAACACATAAATCAACTTCCCTCCTGCAGTCTTCAGTTTTGAAGCAGCGCAGACTAACATGTGTTATGCAGTCATGCATTGCTGACTCACTTCTGCATACATCACAACAGCAGCGTGACACCTGCCTCACTGATCCCACGCTGAAGATCTGAAACTAACATGAGATTCAGCCTGCATTAATCACACGGTCACGACTGAGCACGCTGAAACTGAGCCTTCAGCCACTGTTTACTGCTGCGGCTCATGTAAACATGGCAAGCGCCTCCACTCTGCTTTGGCTCGCCATAAATACTGGAATGAGGCGATTACAGCAGCTGTGTCTTTTCTGTCAAATGGCCTTGCTGAAACAAAAGCAGGCATCTCTGCGAGAGGGACTGGCCAGGAGTCAGTTAAAGATGATGAGAAAATACTGCTTAGAGGCTTGGGCATCAATCTTGCAAATCTTCTGCAGTGAAGAGTGCAAGTCCTCAGATTTTTATAGTAGGTACTGGAAAAGTACAACTAACTCTAAACGTAGACATAATAATGTAGCTCATTGTCCAATTGTGATGATGACATTACAAAACTTAGTTTCTGTTGCGACTCGAATTGAACTTATCAAGGGCACATAGTTTAAAATGGGACCGTTTCTGAGGACAGATCATCACAAAGTTGGACACGACACATGTGGCCAGCAGCAGTCACAGGGATTTGTAAAATGCCCAATTCCATTACGCAGACATGCTGAGCATTGAAATCGAGTGCAGATATGTAATAGTGCTATCTTGAAATCGCCCCCCAGAAAACCATAAGTGACCGTCTCTGCAACGCTCTTTGGGTCACAGCTCAGCTTCGTCTCCTGCTTCCTACAGATCAGCAAATGTTCAGATTTGTGTCTGACAAAATAACACAAAGAGAAGGCGAAAAAGCGAAAGTCTGCCATTAAACTCGGAAGCAAAATCACTGACTTCAATCTTCTATGAAAATAGTTTTGTGTTGTCAACAGACAAGTCAGGAGTGCAGCCAATAAGTTTCACTTATTTCCTGCTTTCGTTCTCCGGTCCTGTTCCAGGTGTACTCACATGAGATCGGGTCTGTGTTTGTGGATGAGGGCGCAGAAAGCCAGTCCGTCCCTGAAGGACGTGGTCATGTTGGTGATGGAGACATCCCGGTAGCCCTCACACTGGATCCGGCACCACTGCTGCAGAGCCTTCACGGCCGCCATCCCGGAGCTCGGAGCCGGACTGATCCGTGTGAAGAGCGCAGCAGTGCCTCTGGAAGCGCTCACAGAGCTCCCTCCTGTCTTCGCTCCTCAGCGTCCAACAAGTAAAACTTTAGAAACTTTCCACAGAAGCCCAGACTGACGCCTTATCCGGGAAGCTGGGAAGGCAAGTCTTTTAGCGTTTGTGTGAATCACCTCACTGACTCTGAGTTAAGTGGAAAGAACCTGGACGTGACACCTGCGAGAGGTCGACGATGACGCGATGGTGTGGGTGGAGTTTGTCCTTTAACTCTTTGTGTTCATCTGCCCGCAGATTCTGGGATCCGATACCAAGCAAACACAGGGCCAGTGTACCGATACCAATACCGATAATTGTAACCTACAAACATGAGATGAATCATCAATTTGCAAATTTTGAACAGATTTTAATGACCACTGGCATTTTTATTTTCCACAATAATTAGTTAACACAACAAAACACACCTTTCAGCTTTTCATATATTTTGAAATTTGTTTTTTTGGAGAGCTAGAATGTAAATTTTAAAGCACTTGGTCGAGTTCTGTATTTTAAATGTGTTGTAGGCTATGAATAAAACATGTGACAGTTAACAATAAAAGGTTATTATATTCAGACATTTTTCATAGCATATTTGAGGTATATTTTGTGAGTTTAAAAACAATATTTTATTACAATTCAGTAGGCTACATACTGACCGTAAAGTATCGATCCGATATCAACATTTAGTTTAATTCACCCACATCTATTGCATCTGTCTGTGTTTGCCTGTCTGCTATAAAGCCAAGTCATAAATCCAAATTTATACAAAGAGAAAAGTAGCCCTCTACTTACTTCCCTAAGTGCTGTTCCAGAGAAGACGTAGAAACCACAAAGAGAAAACCATCATGTGTAATTTTGAGTGTGTTAAGTATGTAATATAAATGTGACCTCAGGTCATTAGACTCCCACAGATACCCAGAAACATTACTGGGGACTTGCAGCTATTTGAAGGATTTCCACCCTGAGCTTAACAAACAAAAATCTATAAGTACCCACATCCCACCTAACAACAGGAACACATGCCCCAGTATGTACCTAATGTCTGTAATGAGCTATTTTAGTTATAAGGGGATAAAGAGTGAAAGCTAGGTGTGGCTTATTCTTGTGTAAGTCAGCTTGCCCGGTCTTGTTCTGTCTGCTGGGTGTGTTGAAGGAGAGGGGTGTAGTCTCTTCACTGAGTTACCTGACACCTGCAAAATCCAGCAGGGTAAGACAAAAGAGCAGAGGGCCGGGTTTACTCATTCAAACGTGCAAGGATCCATTTTCACCCACCTTTCTGCCAGGCTTCTTAAAAGAATTCAGTTAAATTAGATGCAGAGAAAAAATGATAGAGGCAGCAATACCTGATCATAAGATACAAGTTTCTGTTAAAAACAAAAACAGTATAACCTGTATCTGCTGGTATTAAAGGTACTTTCCACTGCTGTCTAAAGGGCCACCACTGTGGATGGATGGATCCACATGTTTGGATTTGGCATAGATTTTACACTGAATGCCCTTCCTGCTACAATCCTCTCGTGTATCTTGGCTTGGGCCCAGCACTCAGAGTAAGTCTGTGACTTCCTGAGGTCAGGAGCTCCTTTGTGTCTTCTCTGGCTTATGCATCCAAGGCAAATATGATTATCTTTTTTCTGCTGACATGATTTCCTATATTGTGTGTGAGAGAGAGAGTTTTAAAAGAACAGTTTCCCACTGTCTCTGTTCTGTTTTACCCAAATTTGATCTGCATTTCAATTCTTTTTTTCATTGCATCAGTTCACAATAGTTGAGAGTGGGAAGGAAAAACTCCCTTTTAACAGGAAGAAACCTCCAGCAGAACCAGGCTCCGGGAGGGGGCAGAGAAGAGAACAAAGAAACAAAAGCAGAGTCTAAAATAAAGTGCATGGCATGCAGTAATGGCATGTAGCCACGTGATGTGTGGAAAATGTGGGTGTGGCCAAGAAATGCTGAGTCCATCATGGGAAGCGCACCAGCAGCATAACTAAGGGATGGCTCAGGATCAGCTGATCCAGCTCTACATGCCAAAATAGAACTTTCAAGACTAATTTTAATAATAGACAGGGTGTCTGTCTCATGAATCCAAGGAGTTTTTGGAACATCCGGATAATAAATCGTTACAACAGTCCGGCCTAGAAGTAACAAATGCATGAACTAGATTTTCAGCATCACTCTGACACAGGATGTTTCTAATTTTAGCAATGTTGAAGATGAAAGAAGGCACACCTACACACTTCTTTAATGAGCATGTTTACTCCAAATCACTGCCAGGTTCCCTGCAATGTTACAGGGGCACAAAGTAATGACATCCAGAGTAAGCAGCTGGTTAGACACCACATATTAAACTGTCACTGAGATTTTCAAGCAGAGTAAAATAACCTTGGTTTTGTCTGTATTTGGAGAATTTTAACAAACCCTTAAAATCTGAGTTTGTTCAATCTACAGATGCAGAGCTCCTAACTTGTGTGCACAAGATTAAAAAAAATCTCACCTCTGTCTCATTTTCCAGTCGTTGGTGTTCAGATTCTCATAGGCATTGCTGTATACATTCACATTTGAACCTTAACTCTCAAACATAGTTATTGCTGAACGCGGTAGTTCCTCCGAGCTCTCTCTGATTTGGTTCATTGTGTTTCGTTCATGATTCAGGTCACGGTTTTTATATGAGCATTATTTTCAGTGGCAGAGGAGCTTTTACGAGCTGGTTTTTGTCTTGAACAACTGGTGGAAACCAAAAATAGAGGTAAAAAAAAAAAGGTAATGATTAACGCCATACTTTGATGACTCTAAGCTGTGAATGTGGGGTTTTTTCCACCCTCTAGCAGTGATGTAGAAGCACATCTCTTGGAAATGATATGTCTAGCTTTCACCCTCCAACCAGAAAAGGATAGTGAAACTGTGGTTTTTAGTTGTAAAGCATAATGCACCTCTGAACATGTCTCAGACATTCATTGGCATAACTTAACATTTAAAAAAGGGTTATATTCTTACACTTACAATTTGTGTTGAACCAAACTTTCATTTTCTTGACTACTGCTTTGGTTAATTGGTAAATGGACTGATTCTTATATCGCGTCTTTCCACTCTCCTGGAGCACTCAAAGCACTTTATACAACATGCCACATTCACGTAAGCACTGTTTTCTATGGTTTTCAGTGCTGGATGCATCAGAGAGCAACTTGGGAAGTCAGCATCTTGCCTGAGGATATTTGGTATGCAGACTGGGGGAGCCGGGGATCAAACCACCAACCTTCCGATCAGCACATGACCTGCTCTACCTCCTGAGCTACAGCCACCCCTAGTTTGGCTTACTATTTCCCATGAAGAGGATTTTCTGGGAAGTCAGCTGTATGTACTCCATGTGTGTTGAATCATCTTTTTCCTCTCTCTGTTTGAGGTCAAATAGGGTTTTTTTTTCTTTTGAATTTCACAGTTAGATGCTGCTTGCCTGCAGCATACGAGTTTTTCACGGGAACAGTTAAATGGATACCATTCAGATCACGAATAATGAATCCAAGCTTCAGACCATCAAGGAAATCTTTCAGCTTGATAGGTGGAATTTACTGGACTTTCAGGCTAAAGTTGGCTTGTGCAGAGAGCAGATGATGTGATACAATGTGAGCATGAATCACATAGCAGAGGGCAAACAGAAAGCAAAAGTAAGGAGACAAAATCTGATAATGAAGTAAACACTTGGCTTGATGTTGGGCTAACTGTCACCGAGCAGTTTTCAACACACCTTTGAGCAAGACCAGATTTCAAAGTCTTACCAAAATAAACTAACAGCCCCTGAGTAACAACAACAACCTGCAGAATACTTGGAGCAGCCCTAACTTTCACATACGTTTCTGATGCCAGGTGATATTTTGGAGAATAAACTTTTATCTGCTGCCAGCACAAGATTCACATTCCTGGTTTTGATTGAAATATCTTGCAGTGCATCAGAGGGATTCTCACGCGATACCATGAATGAATCCACAAGCAAACTAGTGACTGAGCCCATGGAAAGTGTTTACCATGGACAAAGAGCAAGAAAGCCAATTCCCTTTTTCCTTAAACTTCTCCTGAAGACTACAAGAGTTGTTAGCCATGTTGGACATGATACCAAACCACTGGTTCCTTGGGAAAAGCGTATTTTCCAAGACTGGAAAGGTTGGCAAGTTGCTGGCTCTGGCTGTGTGAAACCAGTTGTGAAGGAGGTGCTGCACCAAAAACCTCACTGCGATAGCTTTGGCTGCAAGCTGACTGACACGGCTGAATGCAGTTTCCATGTTTGTCTACAAAGGCTTGTTAACTACTAGCTGAGCAGAAGTAAATCTTGAAAAGTTTCGGAGCAAGACAGAAATGTAGAATGGTAGCCTTCAAAGTAAAAGCTGCACCTCAGGGATCTTTCAAAAAGTTCAAATTTTGAAACTTTGAAACTTTTCGCTTATGAAGCGCCTTGAGGCGACTTTTGTTGTGATTTGGCGCTATATAAATAAAATTGAATTGAATTGAATTGAAACTGTAAAGCCAAAAGGTGCCCATTTCTGTTGTGCGTAGTATTTTACACTACAACTCATGGAGTAGTTGTAGTGTTCGTCACTTCCATACACACTTCAACCGACAGCAAAAATAGTGAAATTTATGCTGACTATTTAGCAAACACATTTTTCTTATCAACAGGTAGTTGTCAGGGGGTGATCCATTACTGGTCTGTAGACCTGTGTAACTGGAAGTTTATCAGTCATTTCTCTAGTGACTGCCATCAACCTCCAGCAAACAGTCAGGGAATACTCATTTTCCCTCACAAGCAGTGGTTGCAGACCAGTCTCTAGGCCGGTGTGTCTGAGGCTGTATTGGCTTGATCCATACCACCACAAAATGCCATGTTTTTGCAAAACCTCAGTACAACCCAAAGAATTTTTGCAACCATATGCTGGCAAACCAAAAGAATGCAAGTTTAAGGCTTCACTTTTCAGACCTACCATACTATACATCCAACTTTAATGTGTCTGTGTGTGAAACACGGTGCCTTCATAGCACCACCAGGTCAGATTTAGCTCAATGCACGTCTACCATCAGTCAAAATCTACTAATTTAATCTACTTTCCTTTTCAGGAAGGTCAGGTGAGTGAAGCATTAACATGCAACATTTTTGACATACTAAACAGCACAGAGGCTCGTCCATGTGTGACTTTCTTTCCTCTTTTTTTCTGATTTTTCATTGCTGAAAACAAACTGCACAGAAACCTGTACAATCTTTAGAGTCAGGTCAAAAAACAAGACTTCACATAATAGCCAGCATTATAGAGT